TGCCTGATCTTCCTTTTGTGGGACAAATGTAATTTATTGCACTTGACCCGGGACTAAATGTCACGTTACATTTACCCTGTGATTTTGGTCCGGGTTCACAATATAAACCAAAATAATAATAATATTACAAAAGTTAAATTTTAATTTATCAAAATTTATTTCACATTAGCATTTAAGGTTTTTATTGTAATAGTAGACTTAGATAGATCGATTATGTATTAAGTCTGCTTTAAATTAACTAATTTTTATACTTTTTTTTAAATAAGCGCTTTTAGAGTTTTCAATTATTATTTTATTTTATTTATTTTCTTTATTAATCTTAGAATGAAAACCTGGAATTATAAATATGGTATTCTTTACACAACGGAATATGTTCTTTTAATTGATTCGATGATAATAACGTACGATTAAAAGAATACTACAATTGATTGTTCTAGTCGTTTTTGACTGAATTGATTAAAAGCCCACGTAAGGAATTCAATATTTATTTTCAGTTGGCGTCACTTATATTAATCCGTATATTTGAATCGTAGTTTTTTTTTTTTTTAATTTGAACCGTAATTACATAATATTCAACAATTTGTCTACATAGATTGAAAAATTAAAATTTATTTAACCAATCAAATTAGCAAAATGTAGTATTGTACAAAGAAATATGTGATATATTATTAAACCAATAAAATTTATTAAAAACATGTGACTGTTAAATGAAACTAAATTTAGTTGACAATTAATGAAAAATTTTGACCAACTCGGAACACTACCTTATAGTTAATATTTTATCAAAACACCAATAAATTTATACTTCAAAGTAATAGACAATCAACATATATCCTTTTCATTATATAACTATGATATCAAGTAGTTGGGTTACTAAATTCTTCAAACTTTTTTATAAGCTCTTCAAACTTCTCCTCTAACTTTTTAATACTTCCTTCTTTTTGATTATTTTCAGTTTCTTCAGCTTGTATAGCTTTTAATAGAATTGGTGAAAAAAACGGATTTTCAAATCCTTGCCAATTTCCAATTTGAATTTCGCGAATTAGGTCTCGAAGTTCGCTTACATGAGCTATATAAATTCTATAATTAACAATAAACAATGTATAATTATGTTTTTTTTTTTTTTATTATATATATTTTTATATATTCATTTTTAAAAAATTGCTTACATTACTTCTGGAAACCAATCCTTTTTCCTTCTTTGATAAGGCAGCATATAAAATAATTCAATTTCGGCCAAAATCTAATATATATATATATATATATAATTCTTATTTAATCTTTTTTTTTTCTTCTAAATTTCCAATTGAAGAAGAAAAAAGGTTTAAATTGTAATACCTCAGCCTTTTGAATTAAGTAAGATTCATTATTATTTGTATCTGAAATCGCATTAGAAAGTAATCCAATAAACAAATTCATGAAATAAATAGAAGTAAAAAATGAGAATGTAAACATTATAATGATTAAGGTGAAGTTTTCTTGCAAATCCCAAGATGATATTGGAGTTGAATCACCTATTTAATAAATAAAAGCATTACTAATTAATTATCTATTAATATGATTATATTTTAATTGAAGTAAATTACCAGTAAGCATAATATAAACGGCCAAAATTGCTGTTCCAAACATAGAAAACATATTAGTACTTCCAGTTGGCGGCTCAATAAGTGATGCTTGATCAGAAATAACACCATCTTCTCCAACTGAGTTATATGTTGTTGCTAAATTCCATGGATCATTTGGATCGGTTGAATAACTTGGCTCAGTTAATGAGTATGGGACACTTGGTCTCAATAATAAGTGTAAAGAATGAGCAAAAGCGAACACAACAAAAGCAATAATTGTCAAAAATGAAAATCCTCGTTTGGCGACACCAAATATCATTGCGAAATGGATACCAACAAATCTGAAAGCACGAAGGTAGAAAAGAAATTTTAGTTCAAGTAATAAAGTAGTGATAGTTGTTGCCCAGACGGCGACAGTGCCATTTTTTATCCAGCTGCATGATGTTAATATTGTGAAAGTTATTGCCCCTATATCTAATTATATTTAAAAAAACACATATAATAAATTAGTATTTATATCTTTATAGCCTTACGTAATCTTATAGAATTCTTATAGAATTCTTACAGAATTCTTACAGAATTCTTACAGAATTCTTACAGAATTCTTATAGAATCATTTTAACTTTCATAGAATCTTATAGAATTCTTATAGAATCATATTATCTTTCATAGAATATTATATAAACCGAGATAATTTATATATAATTTACCAAAATAATTCCAAGGACTTTTGATATATTCGTTTGGAGAATGAATAAATTGTCTAAATTCGTGAAGCAAATGTATAATTCCCAAGAAAATTGCCATATACAACAAAAAATTTTGTTCTCCTGTTGTCATAATATCACTCAATGTAGCAACACTAGTATAACAACAAAGAAACAGTGTATATAATGACCAAGAAACTAAATAATATTTTAATCCGTAAGTATTCCATTTAAAATTTATCAAAGCTTCACCATTCCAATATTTGTATAGTTCTAAATCAATTGAATCAGTGAAATAACTAGGTGAAGGATTCTTAATTTCGTCCCAAGTGTTATAGTTTTTTGGATAATTAACAAATTTTGGAAGAGGAATAATAAGTTTGATTGTAGCTTCAGATTCCGTAATAGTGTTACTGGCAGGTTGGTGGGAAGAAGCTATTTCAACATCGGACCCATAAATTAATTTATTCCAACAATCAGTAATTTTTGAGACAAAGATATCAATTATGGAAGTTTTTGTTGATAAATTATTATAGGTTCCAAAATGATATAGATGAGGAGTCGGCAATAAACTAACCATTTCACTTTCTAATATCAAGTCAATATCAAACAATGGCATTATAAATGCAGTTTGCGATAAAAATCTCGCTAAATAAATTGGATGTCTTCGTAATAATTGTGGAAAGACTTCAATTATAATAGATAACAGTTGAATATCTGAGGTTGATCTAGGACCCTCATTTAAGAAAATTATATTAAAACATTTATCACAAAATTTCTCAACCCATTCATCTTCTTTTAAAAATAAAAAAGTTTCCATAAGAGTTGAACCATAATTAATGATGAAAAATTTGTCAGAGATATAATCTTCTAGTAACTCTTTAAAAAATAATTCTTTTTTTTCGCCAAATGTTAATGTTTTATTTTTAATTATAATCTGAAATTTTGAATCAGGAAATGCTCTAGACTTTTCCTCAGGGAATGCTTTTGCTACTTCATGGGTTTCTAAATCAAGTAATAAATTAAACTGTTTTTCATCTCTAATTCTAGCTCTTCCCCAGTAATAATGCAATCTAATTCCTTTTGGATGATAAATTGTCCAAATTAAAATTCCAAAGTTGGTTAACATGAGTAAATCATCATTATTAAGACATTTACATTGAATAATTTTTATTTTTCTTTTGTGCTCCGGAGGTTGGAAGTTAGGGTTGATGATTCTTTTGGATTCACCTATTACTGGTCTCCATTCATCATGATCTAATTGTAAAGCTTCGATTTCTATTAAATAATGGAATTTACTAGGCTTATAATCCAAATTCCATTTCGCAAAGCTACCTTCGAAAGTATGTTTTTTAATCTCTAATGAGTCAGTAAAATTAGGTTTTTTTTTACCTTCAGATAATTGATCAAGAATCATTTTTGAGATAAATTCAGTGTCAGAAGATACAAAGATTCTATTATAATCTCCAAGTTCCTTTCGTAAATAAGGTATCCAATTCTTTCGAATTAATCCGTCATGAATTATTAACTTTTCATCTACATTACCAATAATATTATCAAATTTGATTAAATAGGGTTCTTGAAACTTCACATCATTTTCGTTATTTTCGAAATTTTCAAGATTTTCGAGTAATTTCTTAGCAGAAACTGGGTCTTTAAGAGTAAATGGATCCATTAAATGGCTATCTGACTCTTCACTAAACTGATTGTGTGATATAATTAGTAGGCGTTCTCCATCTTTATAAGCAATAAAGTAAATTCTGTCCACAATTGTTTTATCTCCATATTCATCTATTAAAACATTTTTGATATTTTAAATATTAGAATATAATAATAATAATAATAAATGTAAAAATAATAAATAAAAATAAAATAATGATGATAAAAATACCAATAATGATAACTATCAATTTAGTGTAAACTTACGAAATGCCAAATTCATTCCGGTTTTAAGACAATAAGTGTAAATCCTAGACTTTTTCGATGTTTCATCCTGCATATAAACAGCATAAACAGCCAAAAATTCACCACCTTTATTTATTTCCACATGCTTAACTTTATAACACCAATCTATCAAGCAATTTGTTTCAAATTTCAATGTTTTAACATCCCATTTAGTTAATTGAAATATTTTATCATCAAATAAAATCAATTTTCCTTCAACTGTAATGAAAGATTTGCAAAAATAAGATAATTCGAATCTAGAAATGCAATTCCATTCATTTTGATCATCCGATTGAAATATATACACACGACACGCAGGTTCGGTAAGAGCCACTACAAGGGAATTATTTTCAACGAAAGAGAGTTGGTTTACTACATTTTGGTGATTAGGAAAATAGATACTTTTACGTTCTACTTTTTTGGCATCGAATAATTCTAATTTATAATAATATAATTTATTAATTATAATAATAAATTAAAAATATAATAGATAATTGTATAAAAGTTAAAAATAAAATACTAAGATATTAACCGAAATTATAATGAAAATCAGTCGTTTTAAATATGACATCCATATTATCCGAAACAGCCCATAAAATAGGCTTCGGCTCCGTTATCTTATGTCCTTTTATGGTCTCTTTCTCCTCCAAGGTATATTTATTCTTCGAATTTAGTGTTTCAGCTACTAACCATAATTTTGCTTCCTTAAATTTATCACCAAGAAGATCATCTTTAATTTTATGTGTAGTAGCTATATATTTCATTTTAGGTGAACAAATGATTTGGCCAAGTACATCTTTTTCTTGTTTTTCTGAGTGAGCGCTTGAAGAAGAGATGTGAGAACCTCTACGTGTACTAATAGCTGAATATGGAGAAAGTTTTGAGTCATCTATTTCTGGAATTTGAATAGTTATTTCATCATTATTCAAAGTGGATGCCATTATTTAATTGAGTAACAACCCTTTTCAAAGTAGAATTGAAAGAGACTGAAGATAACGGTCAAATTCATCAAAGTTAAACACAGGAGGCTTAATTATTTTATTGTTTGTAAAAGAGGCTTCTGTATACTCAAATAAAGCCACATACCAAGAAATTTTCTCAAGTTCATATCCGGTAATGTTTATTTCACCGACACCTCGGTTCTTTTATATTCAATAACTTTAAACTTATCAATGAATTGACTACCGATAAATAACTGTCAGTAATATAAACTAGTTAATGGATTCTTGTAACAACTAGTGTTTCGGGCGAAATTCAATTTTGCATATCAAAATTGGACGAAATTAATTTCGGACTTATATGGCGAAACTCAAATAATTTCGCCCGAAACACTAGTTACAACTGATAAAAAATTAATTTTAAAGAGAAAATTTTGATAGGTTATATGAAAAGGCATGTTATACGAAATTATTCTTAAATTTTGACTAGTGATGGGAAAAATGCGCATTTTATAATAACATGCGCATTAATGCGCATGTTACCGCATGATATAATTTTTTTTTTTCCGTTTCATTTCGGAAAAAAATCGGTATGTTTCTCGAAATTTGGTTGCGACCTTGCTCGTCAATTTCGGAACTTTGAAATTCCTATACCTTAATTTCTCCCGGCATTATGCACTCTGGCCTAAATTACATGACCTAACCAAAACATATATAGATTTTTGATTGGCAAAAATGCGCATGATACCCATCTCCAATATGTTTTGTAGATGAAAACTTTTCTACGTGACAAGAGCTATTCTTGTATCAAATCTAATCAAACAATTAATCTTGTATCGAATCTAATCAAACAATTTTGGCAAAATTTTAACTTATAAGTTCATTTGAGTAGATTTTTTTAAAGAAACAGCCTTTTTAACTTATGGACCTATGAATAAATATGTAGAAAGTATTATATATGTTTAATTATAGGTTAAAACAAGTTCAAAAGCCTATTTTCTCTAAGAAATTTGCTTCCGAATCCACCCTTAACACATTTAACCGATTGTTCAATGACCAAACACTCTTAAATACCCGAGCGTCTCAACAACTAGTGATATTGCTTTCTTCTACAGTTTAGTATAGCTATTTTATTTATTTTATATGATTTTATATATTGTATATTGTATAGTACTAGAAAAAGCTAAGTAAACTTTTTTATTCGCTAATTAAAGTTGTAGACGCTCGTTTATTGATTATGACGCGTTTCATTTGATTTTTTTTTAACGCCAATTAATAGTAAAACTTCCGTGTAACTATTTATTTAAACCCCCCAAACTGTCCGATATGAACAAATATTTGTTTGATGGGGGCTGACAAAAAATTTATTATAGAGTTAATTAATATAAAGAAGGTAGTCGTGTTTATTTATATCCCAAGTTGATGTATATTTGTTGTAAGACTAAGATAAATTCTTGATTTATTTTTAATTTTTATGAGCCTATAAAAAGTTATCATATCATATTCTATTATGAATAACATTTATCCAATCATGCTTATGACACATCGAAATCCAGTACTGTTTACTTCACAGATATCATGATTCACAAATATTACTTCACAGACAAGCTTATTGCAAAAACAATACGTACATCAGATTAAATAAGTTAATAACACAAGCAATGAAGCATAGTTTATTGGAGTGTTACCTATCAGTTTAATGAGTGCCCTAATTTCCCCACCACTTCTGATTGGCTGTACTAATTACTCACTCATTGGAGCCAATCAAATTTAACGATCAGGTGTAACGTAAAAGAAACGTAAAAATACAAAAATCGCTCATAACTTTAAATTCAACTTATGAAACTGTCTTCTGCGCACTAATAAAAAGTTTCCTTGAAAAATTTTGGTATAAGAAATACCTTCTTATTATAACCTAATGACAAAATACTAACTCTAGCCCAACAGCGAAAATTTTTACTTGAAAATTTTTTTTGATTAATACTCTAATAATTAAATAATAGTATAGCCAATCAGAAGTGGTGTGGGAAATTAGTAAATCCCAGTTTAATCACAAAATAGGGCAAGACACATAGTAAAAATTAATAGTGAAGATTTTTTTAATCAAAATTTTAAGATTTTCGATTTATAATAAATTATTAATAAAAAACGTCTTCGCACAAACTCTTATAACTCCTGCTATAATAATTTTTTTATTCTTTAAACACATCTTTATGAAGTAATAACCGCATATCTTAAATATTTTAATTTATATATTATTAACTAGTATTGATTAAACTATGTATTAATAACAATTAATACGTTGAATTATTATAATAATAAAATAAATTAAAATATTTAAAATATGCTGTTATTACTTTATAAAGACATGTTTAAAGAATAAAACCCACATTACAGAATTAAAAAATATATATATTATAGCAGAAGTTATAAGAGTTTGCGTAAGACGTTTTTTGTTAATAATATATTATAAATTGAAAATTTTGAAAAATTCTTCACTGTTAACTTTTATATAGATTAATTGCACTAAAGTTTTTAAGAATCGCATAAATGATTAGAAATAACGATAACTAGTTCTATAAAATATTCCAAATATGGATAATGTGAATTTAGTTCTATAAAATATTCTAAATATGGATAATGTGAATACAGTCAGACCTCTCTAAATGCAATGTGACGGGACCATAAGTAAAAATTTAGCCAAACGTGCATTTAGGGAGGTAAAAATCTATAGGCATAATATAAGTTGGGCCCAAGAGAAGACATGCATTTAGGGAGGTTTTTCGTAGGCGTGCACTTAGGGGGTCTGACTGTATTGTAATGAAAATAACACGAATAAAGCGTGGTGTCAAACATGTGATCCCGACAAGAATGGACAAGTAGAAATACGATTATTGATGACTGTCTGAAAAGATTTTAACTTAGAGCTAATGCGTATGAGGAATAGGGATGGCAACGGTTACGATCGGCTACGATTTTCATAGTCGATTTTCTAGAAATTGAGATGATTTTTTATTTTTGAGTGTTTAATTAAAGTTGTTCAGAATTATATATTGTACATCCCATATTATAAGTGGAAAGAACGATACCTTCTCTGGAACTCGGAATTTCAAAATTTGTTAA